TGATTTGGAGCATTTTACTACCTATTCATGTCTTTTGACTATTTATTAGGAAATGGCTTTTAGCCTTATGAATTTGAATGAATTACTTACATATCCTGATTGAGACCTTTATCAGAGAAACTTGCTGTAAAGATTTTTTTCCCCAGTTGCCAAACTCTTTCCACAGTTACCTGTTTTTATTAAAAGGGTCTCTTTTTTTTTTAAAGGGTCTCCTTTCTAACTGATAATAATGAAGTCCTATTCTGTAAACTTGAGGATATAAATTATGATCTCACATTTCAGTAGTTTGCATTTTTCTTCATATCTGTTGCTCACATGTTATTTGCAAAGGATTCTTTTTCGCAGTTCAGCCTCTAAGATTCTCTATTGTTTTACCATAAAGGTATCATGAAAATAACTTGTCAGGTGTTGATGGACATTAAACTTTAATCACAGTTTCAGGGTGGTAAAGACAAACTTTGGAGCAGCCAGTCTTTGTATAAACATTTGTTTCTGGCAGGAACGCATGAAATGAGTTACGAAATTTGTATGTTGATCGGAATATTATTTTGTGGACATCTACCTAGAATCACTTTGCTCTTGAAGTTTAGGGGATTTGTGTGCTATACTTTATGACTTTTAGAAGAAATCATGTGTGCTACCACAAGACTAAAAGTAAGAAAACGGCTTGTGACCTGTTAATCAGGTAGTGGTGAGTATATTTTTGAGATTCTCAATATGATTGCTTTGGTCTCTTAAATAATATTAATACACAGTTACATAGAAATCACCCTTTCTCTTTGGAAGAAGGAGTAAACTTCCCATGAGAACAAAGTATAGAGTGAAAAACTTTTACATGACCTAATGGTTTTTAGATTGTGATAGAAATTTAGGAACTTATTGCTGGTTAGCTCTTGAAATTCCTTTCTTCCAGACCCAGCAATACTAATATTAGGTCTGTTTCCCTAGGTGATCAGGAAAAAAGGAAAAGAACCTGTATGTTCTAAAATATATCAGCTCTCTTTGTGGTGGCAAAGAACTGGAAATTGAAGGGATGCCCATCAGTTGGGGTATGGCTAAACAAGTTGTGGTATATGATTGTGATGGAATACTACTGTGCTATAAGAAATGATGAGCTGATTGATTTTAGAAAAACATGAAAAGATTTGCGTGAAATAGTGAAGATTGGGATGTGCAGAATCTATAGTAACAGCAATATTGTTCAAAGAATAACTGAGCCACTAAGTTATTGAGTATTATAAATACTCAAATCAACTACAAAGGACTATGAAAGAAGATGCTATTCACCTCCAGAGAAAAAACTGATAAATAGAAGTGTATATACATATATATACACATGGTTACATATATAGACATATATGTGTCAAATGATGGCCTCTAATGTGGATTGGGATGGGGGGGAGACAGCTCAGAACATAAAATGTAACAAAAAAAGTTAATTAAAAGAAGATTTTAAATCTCTTCCTTCCCTTTAGACCGTTAGAATTCAGTTTCATGCTTTAGGAGATCTGTTCAGCAAACCTTGAGGCCTAGTCAAGTACTGTGTTGGGTGCTTGGGATACAGAGATGAAAAGAGTGACTCCTTCCTCAAGGAGCTGACTTTCTAAGGGGGGAGGGGGTGATTAATATATAGACACGTAAGTAAATACAAGGTAATTTGAAGACTGAGAGAACTAACAACTTGGAGACATCGGGAAGAACATCATAAATGATGGAAGGAGGCGCCTGTAGGTAAGTAAGTATCCCGACATGGATTACTGAGTTCAGAAATGGCTAGTTGGCCAGTTTGCCTGGAACATAGAACACATGATGCGTAAGTCTGCCATGTTCTCTCTATTGTTCTCCCGTCTCCCCCTGATGAAATGTACTCCGTTGGTAGCTCTAAGTATTGAGGTGACCTTGATAGCTTTTACACAACAGGTATATCATCAGAACTGAGAAATAAAGTAAAACTGATTTTTCAGTATCTTCACTTAGACTTGTCCCTTCCCTCTGGTCATTGAAGTGTTCCTGATCTTCATTTAAAGATTCATGTCTGCCTCTGTCCTTGAATTCCTGTGTCTAGGACCTTCCTTCAACAGTCATCTTTTCTCTCTCCTTTACTTCTGCCTCAGTACTGGCTCTTCTCCACATACCTACAATAACCATCAACCACCTTGAATGAACAAGAAAAAACTTTATCGATCTGTTTACCCCAGCCACTTACTGTCCCAAATCTTTTCCCTTTCACTGCTAAATTTTTTAAAAGTTGTCCACATCCCAGTACTTTCATATATTCCCTGACTTACTCTCTATCCATTGTCATCTATCTTCTGCCTTCACTAATCCACAGAAGCTATTTTCTACCATTATGTAGTTGTAAAATCCATAGCCTTTTTTCAGTCTTCATACCCTTTGACGCTATTGATTATCTTTTGATTGCAGAGACACTACTCTTTTCTAGTTCTCCTACCTCTGTCTCTGCTTCTGTTTCTCTTTTTCCCTTAATATATGTAGTTGTTTTTTTTTTTTTTTTCTGAATGTCTGTCTTTGGTCCTCTCAATTCCCTCATGCTCTTGGAACCTCCAACAGAGGAGCTTTTATAAAATATCTTGCCTGTAATTGTTATGTAATCTCAGTCACTCAGTCACTGCTTCCCTGCAAATCACTCTTAAGCCTCATATGTCTTGTCCTGACCTCTCTGACCTTCAGATCTACATTCCCAATTGCAAGGTCATTTGTCAGCACCTCACACTCGGAGTGTGAAATGGAAAAAGTACTAGATGTGAGATCAGAAGACCTTGGGCAAGTCATTCAACTCTGAGTCTGTTTCTCCATCTATAAAATGAAGAGATTTTTAGAATCCCTGGCCTACTTCAAAGGTCACTTCAAGTAGCTATGAATCCTTTCCCAACTATTAGTGTCTCCCCAATTAACTCGTATTTACTTTTATGTATTTTGGATCTATTTATATGTGTGCATAGTGTTTTCCCTGGTAGAATGTAAGCTCCTTGGGGAAAAGGGAATATTTTATATTTTCATTTGTATTCCCAATGCTATTAATAAGCGTTTGCTGATTGCACAGACTAGGTGACCTCTTAAGTTCATTTCATCTCTAAATGTGTGATCTTAGATCCTGCACAGAGTTTGTTTTCCCTTAAACTTTTCATTCATTCATTAATTTCAGTCAGTAGCTCCTTTCTCGTACTTAACCATTTTGTTCTGTGACAGACACTACCGTTCTGCCTAATTCTGTTCTGTTTGAACCTTTGGGGGTGAGGAGTGGAATAATCTTTTTAGTCTTCATTCCCTGTCATGGCTGATTATTTAATAATTAATATTTAATCATTTATATAAGTGCTTGATCTCTTTTGATTGTCCCAACATTGAGGTATAGGTATTATTATCCCTTATAGATGAGGAAACTGAAGCTGAGATAGGTTAAGTGACTTGCCTAGGGTCACACAGCTAGCAAGTGGCAGAATTTGAACTCAAGTCTTTCTGACTCCAGGACTGTATTCACTGCATCACCTAGCTGCCATGACATTTGCCATGTTGTGACAATTTTACCTTCTCAACATCTTTCTCACATAGTATGTCCTTTCCTTTTTGTTTCTGCAGCCATCAATATCATTACCACCTACATGGACTAGTATAACTTCCCTCCTCTGCTTTTTTCCATCCTTACTGCCAGAAAATCTTTCTCATACCTAGGTCATGTCATTCTATTAGTCATTAACTCTAAATTGCCTACAAAGTAAAATCTTGTGCCTTTCGGGTGTTTAACCTTACCTTTCAAGCCTTATCTCATTCATTGACTTGTACTCTGTGCTCCAAGCAAACTGGGTGGATACTCTCTGTTCTTCTGTTCTTTCCACCTCCATACACTTGTTCAGGATATTCTCTTTGTCCAGAATGTTTAGCTTCCCTTACCTTCTACTTACTTATTATTTCTACTTATTCTTTAAAATCCAATTCATGTGGTATTGCCTTTATTCACTAAGCCTTTCTTGCATGTGTTTTCATTAAATGTCACTTGCTTTTGCCCTTTAATGCACATGTTGCCTCATACTGTGTTTTATAGTTGGATTTGTCTTATAAACTGCATGATAGTGACCCATTTTCCATAGCATGGCACTTTGCATATTGTGGATCCTTAATAAATAAATGTTTGTTGATTTGTATCAATTTGGGGTTAAAGACAATTCTGAATTAGTAAAAATTCAGAACTATATTGCACATTCCACGTAAATCTTAATTGGTTCCAGGAAAATAGAAGATAGATGAAGTAACATTATGCTTAGTTCCTCCACAGGAACAGTGTTACAAATGGTTGGTTGAATTTGGCTTTAATGTATAATATAATTTAATAGTGAAACAGCATTTCTTGGACAACTATGGGGGTAGGATATGCTTGTATAGGATATTTTTAAAGGAATGACAAAAGGTTTCCTAGGATTCATAGAAATCTTAGAAATAATTCTATCTAAATGTAGTTTTATTACTTTCACATAATCCCTGTAGGTGATGGTTATCAAGTAGACGATACTATACAGGCCTTTGTTTTCATAGATAAAAAATATTAATTAGATGCATTCATTTGTATATAGTGCACCTCCAAAATGCTTTTAGAAATTGAGAAGTTTGAAAGATTAAATGTTCTCCCTAATCTTATTTATGCTATTGTAATAAATGGAGTTTTTTGATAGCTTAGGGACCATGTTATATAAATACATAAATGTAAAAACTATTTAGGTGATCAAAATTAATGAGATCTTTTGTCATGGAGTATTTTCAGTGGTGCTCAAGTGTTGTATGACTTGAATTTGGGTTGAAGTTTACTTTATTCAGGGGTATTTTGTTTTTACTTACTCAAATCTTTCTTTTACAATTATGAAATAGGTTTTGCCATTTCACCAAGAATTACCAAATTTGTCATTACAATTGTAGACTTTGATATATTATAATTTAAGATGAAAGCTTGATTAGAAACTGATTATAGTTCTCACCTTAATTTTCAGACAGCACCCGTAACGAAAAACAGTAAAGAAAACAGACTAAGAGGAAACAAAGTGTTCTGTGCGGTGGGTTTCTTATCCAGTGTAGCAAACTTACTTTGTGACTACTATTCATTAACCCCAGAGGGCCTGTTCAAATGGAGTCTTTAGTAGACATAGTCTAGGATATATATATATATATTCCTGTAGTGAAAATATTGTCTTATTTTGACTTGATAATTTTTAAGTTATGTGTAAAGTCCACATGTGTATGAACTTCATTTTTACAGCTAACATTATCTTATGGTGGATAAATTCTTCAACCTGTCTTCAGATGGCTTAATAATTACTTTCTTGAGCTTAAAAAAGAACTTTATCTTCATCTTTCTGAATTTGCTTAGCTTCTTGTAGTAAAAATTGGTATAACACATGTTGAAAAGGCACAGGTGACCGGTGGAACATGAGTTTTGTTCTGTTATTAGGATGTCACTTTTCCTAATATTGTCATCCATTCTCTTACAAATGGTCATGCGTATATGTTGAACTTGACATGATTAAAAGTTATTTTTGTTTTAATTATACATCCATAGTTGACATTTCAAATTTAAATGGCAGGTAGCCATTATTTACCAACTCTTATGAAAGAGCAGCAAAACAAGGGTTTCTTTAAATATCTTCATTTCTGCCTATCTTTCAAGGAACTCAAAGGAATACAAATTGAAAGGGGGTCATAAATTTAAATTTTCATTGTGTATAAGATCATTACTAAAACTAAATATCTTAAATTTTCTTCCCTTGCTGTGTTAATGGTATTGACATATTTAAAGTTTTTGATATTGGTTTGTTAAATTTTGAATCTTAGGAATGGAATAAATGCTCCTAACCTAGTTACTTGGGGTTATTTAAGAAGTATAATAACCTAATTTTGAAATGAGTTCTGTTGGAAGACTTCTTTTTAGAGACTTAATATTGAGAATAAAATCTGATACTGAATGTCCGGATATTGTTCCATATGACAGCAGGAGGCACAGAGTCAGCTGAGTTTAGTTAAAAAGGTGAGAAGGGAGGAAGCAGGTAGCAAAATTAATGCCAAACAAGAATGCCAATTTTTTACCGACTTCTATTAAAGATTGAGCAAAATACACTTCTTGCATTATCATAGTAGTACAGTGTAGTTCACGATCAGGTAAGAACTACAAAATCGTAACAAAAGTTGCTTTTTTACTTTCACTCACTTTTTTTTTTTTGCCTCTTTCCCTTTCTTCCTTCCTTTCATTCTTCCTTTCTTTTTTTGATGGTGGTTAGAATATTACCGAATACTATAGCCTGGTCCCAATGATTGACATGTTCCCTGGAGGTCCAGAATTTCCTTCTACACAGAAGTTGTTGGAATGGGTGGTAAAAGTAGTATGTCATAAGTGTTAAGGGGAATAATATGGGTTCTTCTATATGTTCTGAGTATAAGAGAACAAGCAGAGTTAATATTATTGCCATTAACTTTCTTCTCTCTTTTCTCTTGTTTTCTAGTCTTCAAGCAGTGACAGTGGTGGTAGCAGCAGCAGCAGTAGTACCAGCAGCAGCATCAATAGCCCAGACAGGGGAAGTGTTCAAGAAAGCAGCTTAAACCAGATAATTACCGGATCCAGCCCTAATACCCCTCAGACCTTACAGGAGCAGTCTGCACTATGCCAAGGCCCTTACTTCCACATCAACCAGATTCTGAAGGAGGCACACTTTTATAGCCTACAGCACCGAGGACGACCTCCTACATGATGAACTAGCAGTTCCTTGCCTTCTGTGAAGGGACAGCACTGTGCAGATTTGATATTTCAACTTAAAAAGTTTGTTAAAAAATTGCACAAAATATGCCTGTTGACTTTTCAGTCTATATTTGAAATAACAGGTTAGCAGGCATTGTTTACTTGTGGTTTTGCTGCACTATTGCAATTTCAGAGGGGCTTTGAAGCCATTTTTATGGGATTCTTTTCAGGGTGGGTGTCATCTCAGTGAAGGTGACAGTAGGAGGAAACCACATCTGCATGTTAAGAGTCCATACTGGCTCCATTTCAAATTTGGAAACCAATTGGAGACTAACTGCTTTGTGCAAGGAGTCCTTTTAAAACATGGGGTCCTCAAATTTTAAAGATTTTTTAAAAAAATTCGGTAAACTAGTAAAGACTAGTTTGCATGAAAAACATTAGTTTTCTTTCCCAAAGTATAAAAGAGCTTGCTTCTGTCTGGGACTGAAGCTGGCTACCATACTACCTCTCAGTATGCAGATGTCCTATTGAAATTAATTTCCCCTGTTACAGGGGGAGAAAAATTAGACCACGCTTATTAGATTAGACTTTGTAAGATGGAAACACCCTCCCTACAACCTGTCTTCTCTTCCCTATGTAAAGTGTTTGCATTCCAAGGAGATTGTCTTTTAGATACTTCCTTGAACCCTAATTATTTCTATGATATCATTAATCCTCCAAAGGCTAGATTTCAAGCTTCTTAGCAAACACTGCACAGTTTTGAAAGACAAGAAGTTGTACTGTATTTGTAACTTTTGTCTCGGACACAAATGTATGTTAGCAGCTTAAATGATTTTGTGATAATTCCACCTGTTGTGTCTAGCAAGGCACAGATGACTAATGGTAAAGACTAAGCAACCTGAGCTGGTGTTTAAGGTAACAGGTACTGTAGAACTATGTGTTAGCTTAGGTTCAATTTAATATTTGAAGTACCTTCTAATAGTCACTGGGGAGCCACACTCCCTCATTGAAACCACAAAAATCGGTGGAACTTAGAAACAAATTAGCAGAGGCACTAATAAATACATGGTAATATTTATTTAGAAAAGGAGAGGTATGTCCTGATAAATTGCTTCATTTTATTTAGTCATACTAGAGAGCCAACTAAGTTTGAAAAGAGATGGTGTAGATGTGTCTTCCTCCTCTGTGACAAGCTGTCTGAACAAGGAACCAGGACGCATCATGTCATCTTCTGTTCTGGAGAGTGTTGGAAGTACAACCTGCCATTAGATTGAAAGGAAAGTGCCTTAGATTCTACCAGGATTCTCTTACCTGCTCACCCACTCCAGTCTTCAGTTCTGAAAGCCACCCAGCACATAGAAGCAGATCTTAAAAACTATTGGGATTGCTAGTGAGAGGACCTTCCCTTCTAGGTAAGGTTAGAAAAAGACTGGATTTGAAGGAACTACTTCTCTTGACTGGTATTAACTTTTACTTGTGTGACAAACAAAACTACTATATCAGATTTTTAAGGAAAAGGACAAGCTTTAAATACACTTCCTTCCCACTGCTAGCTTCTTGAGTGTGAATACGATTTGCCAGAGATAAAACATCTTTGGAATGGGCATAATTTTGTTTAAATCGAAGTCTAATTATTCTTGGGGGGAAACTGTAAATTTTCTCTGTTCCTCTCACCACTTTTTAAAAACATGTAAGATCTAAAAGTTTTTAGGAAGAAGGTCCTAACAAAGTGGTTTGCAGAGAATGAGAAAAGAATATAAAACATCTAGAATAAAGAATACTAACATCTGCTTTTCAGTTATACAGGGCAAACAGATACTAAGGGGAGAGAACTGGTTTGAGTTTTGAAATACCCCAGTAAGATTGCTGCAGGCTTTACTGGATGGCAAACAGCTTGAAAAAGCAGTAAGTTTCCTGTTTCTTCCTAACAAATATGTTGTGGAGGATGAAACCATGACTAGGACAAAACAGTTTTTTCTGTTTTCCAAGTGAGTACAACCATTTTCTGGGGCTGGGTATGTAACTACAGCCCCCTCCCTAGTATTGCTAAATAAAATTCCATCCTATCTTTTGCAGAATTTTCTATAGTATTAGCAGCCTAAAATACTATCTCCACAGTGAGGCTGCTTAATGTCTAAACATGATCATCTTTTTAAACATCTATCAGCTCAGTCTAGTAAGATCTTGTACTTGTATTGCACCACCATTAAATGCAGCATTAGTGAATGTTGTCACTTAGTTCTTTCTTAGTATTTAAGAGAGAGATTCCCCCAAAGGTTCTATGGAAAGTGGGGCGGGAGAGCTATTGGATGTAGGTTTCAGATGCTGTGCTTACTAACCTGGTCTTTGGGTTCTGTGCTTCGGCTAGTGGACTTAGCCTTTCTTGAGCTAGTTGTGCTAAGTGGAAGAAGTCCAAACCTGAAAGGTAGAATTAAGACAGGTTTCAGAAGAGTCATCAGAAAACTTCAGAGCTTAGATGAAGTCCCATGTGAAAGTTTACCTGATCTGACTTGATGCCAGTGGTAGTATATTATGGGGCTCTTGGGAGTTGAAGGTGCTGCTCCGGGCAGAAAACTGATTATCCGTACCAGTTAGCAATCCAAATAGAACCTGGGAAATTTTTTAAAAAGGGCAAATTAAGATGGGGATCTTTTATTTATTGCCTTCTTAAAGTATGGAAGTGTTCTGTTAGGTTAAATATTGCCTCTGATCAAAAAGAATACTAAATCTACTCTAAAAGTGATTTTCTTTTCTTACCACTGATCACAGGAAGCTATTTGTATTTTGTTAAGCTTTCCCTGCTGCAGTTTTTAAAGGTCAGTCTTTATCCAACCACTTGGGGTGGATTTTTTTTGTAATCATCATCTGAGTTAAGGTTTAACTTTACCTGCCCTGAGCTTATTACTACCCACTATAACGTGGAACTCAACGTTTAACTAGAACAACAACTTGCTTGGCTTTTCCTCCACAATCTCCAGCTGAGAGGCAGCTGCTAATGTACTGCCAATGCTTTGATTTGTTTATTTTGCAACCTGAGCTCCCTCACACTAAGCTTACAACTCAGAAAGAAGCCTGTTCCCATCTTGACTTACCGAGGTTCGTTGCACCAGGCGATTAAGGTTGCTATTTAGGTGTGGTGTAAAAACATCTAGGTCAAAAGGATCTATGAGACCTTCTAAGAAGTCTGTTACTTTTTCGATTCTGGAAAAGAAATTGGAATGGGAATTGCTTTTCAGTATCCTGAAAAGAAAGCTATTATAAAAACCTATACATGTCCTCGAAAAAACCCAGTACTGGGATTTGTTCTATTTGTTTGTTTTTGCTTTTTAAATGGTAGCTCACCTTTTTCCCACAGGTGTATGCAGAGTAGCCTCCACAATTTTAATTAACCTCAGACTTGGACTAGAGTGTTCAGGTCAGACCACATTCCATATTGTTAATTTTGGGGGAAGAGGGCCAGATTACACTCTTAAGGTTTGCAGACTTGTGATAGATGAGATTCAGATAACTTATTTTCTCTATATACCTACAATTTAGCAGCCTCCACATGACTACTATTTTATTAGCAATGGGGGCACTTAGTTTTCAAATCAAAAATAATTAACTTCCAACGTGATCCTTAACCCCACCCCCAAAATGGTCTTTTAGGGGAATAAGTAAGGTACAATACCTGGAGTCCTGTTTACTTCGACTACTTTTCATCTCTTCACTTTTGACTGTCAACACAATATTGAGATAACGAAGATCATAAAGTAGCTGCAGCGCCCTGTTCTGGGTCATTGGGAATGTACCTTCTTTCTGCAAATTGTTTTCCCCAAACACAAAGAGGAATTATATGGGCATACTGAGCAGTCATTCATTAACCTAGTGGTCTCCAAAGTGGGAAGGCAGGCGTCACCTCAGACGCACTAGGCCTGACCCCAAGGGGGTGTGTGGTAGTCAAACCGCAGCATGGGAGATATATTGCAGCCCTGCCCTGCCCAGTTGGAGGGCTAGTTTGTTCCCAACACCATGTCCCTCTACTGAGCCAGGTGTCATCTCTGAAGGAAAATGAGATCTGAATCCCCACAGCAGCAGCTACATGGATGCTAATAGGAAAATGCCATAACCCCTTCACCCTATATCTAGGGCAGTGATTGGTGAATAACAGGAGCCTAACCACCTCTGCCACTTGATTTTAGAAGGGACAGTGAACGACACAGAATAAGCCAAAACGTATGAGTTGTGAAAGAGCAAAGATGTCGTTGCTTTTTCTTTCTTCCATATTTCCCAATTACTGTCCACGCCACCTTCCTTCACAACCTATCATCCTTGATGCTTCAGATTTCCCTCCCCCAACACAGTCATTTACATCCCACCCTTCTAAGATTTCTATTTTTGTGTAAGTTTTACAATGTACATAATTAGTGCAGTAGCACATGTATATACTTCTATTTACAATAAGTAAATTACATATACTAGGAATGTGTACTCAACAATTTTTTACCAATAGATATGTTTAATTAAAAATGTTTGTCGATTACTGTACTAACCAATCCAGAATTAGTCTTGGGCAAGTTAAATTTTGGTATTTCAAGAGAAGACTTTTACAAATGAAATTCCAAGTTTCTAGATAAAAGAACTCTAATTACTTAATTAGTTCAAGTTCAGGTTAGACCTTGGTCTAAAAGTTAAAGCCTCCAATTTGTAACAGACTGAAGACTTACACCCTGTACTGGCAGGTCAAATGAGTCCTGTGTGACAATTTAGGAACTAAGGTGAGGAAAAGAGGAACTTCTCTGCTATAAAACACAGGCATAAATTAAGAGGAAAGGAAGCTGGATGCTCTTGCTATCAATGGGAATTACGTAGTCTTAGTAGGAAAGACAGCCAAGAGCTGAATTTGATCAGCATTAAACTTGGGTATGCACAGGCTTAGGAATGATGAATACATGGAGAATGGTTTCACATTTTAAGAAATGCAAACTAGTTAGAAACCAATGGTTGCGGAAAGGTATAATTTAACTGGGTGAGAGAAAGGCATTTGGATATCCTGTAGTAATCGGTACCTGACCCAAGTGTTCCTAAAGGCATTGCCAAGTATGTCTGAATGCTATGACTTATATGTCTGAACTCCCCATCAAAGCTACTACAACACAAGACATGTTTTAGGCAGAGATGAGCCCCTCCAACATACCTTTGTTGTCTTCTCTTCAGAAAGCTTTTCATAGCCTGCTAATACTTGAACCAGGCACCCCTTTAGCATCTCCTGCAGCGTTGCCTTTGGCAAGGCGTGGCCTCCAACCTGATTTATTTCCTGACACAGGCTGAAGAGGAAGGATTGTACATACCAGGATGGCTACAAGAATCAAATATTGTCATTTAGAAAGGAGTTGGCAGGTGACCAGAATGGGTCCTGGGGAAAGTAGGATGGGTTTGGCTATATAAGGCTTCTTTGAACGTGGCTGGGACTTGACCTCTCATATCAGCCACCTCTGCCCCACACACCACTCCAGGACTCTGTGCTTCACACACAGCACAGACTTCAGGAGGAGAACCATGAGAGTAAAAGGAAAGCTTTCACCCAGGCACTTGCACAAAAGCACTTCGTATGAGGGTGCTGTCATTTTCATGGCCCACAGGTAAAAAAATTCATAGACAAGGTAGAATCTGGCTTGTTTGGGAAGCCGTGCTTTATGGGAGTGTGGGAAAATTAACAACTGGGAAATGCAATCACTAAACTTTTGAAGTGCTAATCCTTAACTGATGTAAGGGTCCTAACTTATTGTCT